CTCATTCCATTAATGCAGAGCGTAAATACTGACCTCTTGAGGAAGAGGGAGCGGCAGCTTGGATTTAAGCATGGAAAGATTCTGACATGTGACCAGGAATGAGATCAGTGTGTCAGCTTCACACCGCTTCAAACAGCGCCTGGCAAAAGCTGTCAAACAACATCAGAGCACTAAGCTGCATTTTTCCCTCTGCCAGCTTCCAATTTCTGGTGCCCGAGCCTCCTGCGCATATTTTGCCTGTGGTGTATTTGGAGAGTTTGACTTGGGCTTTTTTCACAGCCCACTGATGTTTTTTTTCAGGGGTGTAGGAATTATCTGTAAACTGGGAGGCAAATATACATGTTATTAGCTTGGCTCATGAATATTAGGTGATTAAAAGATTTGCTTAAAGTGCACATACTTGAAATGGGCACTATGGATTAGCACTTATTACTTGTGTTTTCGTTCATTCAGTTACATTCTGATACGGCCGATTGGAAAAGGCTTCCGCTTGAGCTTAAAAGCTGTTGTTTTACACCGCAGGCTACTTTTTTTCCCCTTTCAAAACAAAGCTCTTTTAATATAAATATAACGGTTATTGCCAACAAAAAATGTAAAAGGGGAAAAAAATAATCTAAATATTTTGAAATGCATTGAAATACTTGAAAATATATTAGTTTTGTTTCTAAATATTTAAAGATGCATTAACTAATTATCATTTAAACAATAAATAACATACAACAGTTACAACCAGTGTTATTTTTAGCATTATTTTTAGTATTATTTATTATTATAGTATTTATTTTTAGTAATTCCAGCCAAAAGTATTATTTAAGTATTATAAACGGATATTTAAGTTTTAGTAATTTGATTGTGCCTTATATATATATATATATATATATATATATATATATATATATATATATATACTTATTTTATATTATTTTTAATTTATATTTTTTCATCATATATATATATATATATATATATATATATATATATATATATGATGGTTCACATTTACTGTGTCTAGCATTCTGCAGTGTTTCAATAAGCTTTTCTAATCAGAATATGGTGACTGCAATGCTGACATTACTAATCAAAGATATCCCTTAGTATTGAGTCATCCATTTTATTTTCACGACTAAATATACTTCAGTATGCCTTCACATTTGATTATCACTACTTGGTGTTGTAAATATGGCATGCTGTGTATTTGTCCGAATATCTATAGTGTATTTAAGGGTAATTAGCTTACATGAATTATGAAGCTAAATAAACTGCAGACACAACACATCAGCATCTTCATGAGATCAGTTTAGCACTAACTTAAAACACTTTGGCAACTCCTGTCCTGAATCATTTTTACGGTGCAGCCTGGTATTGATTTACCACCATCATTACATTATAATACTGCTGTGTTGTAAACCATTCAGCAAATAAATTTCCTATCCTACAGTAGGTGCTTACATAGCTTTCTGCACACAACTGAATTTGTAAACACATTTCACGCAATGAGAGAACACGGAAATGAATTATAGGCATGAGTAAGAATCTTGGATTTTTAAATCAATCTCAATAGACTGCAACAGAGCTTCATGCTCCCTTTTTCAGCAGCCCTGGTTCCAGAAGTTGTTATTTTTTTTCTCAATGGGATTTTAAAGCCATGAACCAAGCCAATCAGCTATGAGGTGAATCACAAAAAAACTTTGATTTGAAGATTTTTATTTTTTTATTTACTTTTTGGGTAATCGGACAAAATGACAAAGGTATAAGACTGTGTGCTTGTTTCAACAAGAGGCTGTTTAGTCCACATGTGAACATAAACATGTATTTTTAGTATTGATGGATTTTCATCCATCTGATGATGTAGCCTATGCAATGACATGCATGGAGACATCTGTTTTGTTTTAAGCTGCCATATTATGTAGTTTTATTGTTTCAGATTTCCGAGACGGGTGATGTATAAAGTTGCAGACAACCAGTACTGTGATCTAACCATTCCTACTGAATTCTTTCTAAACAGTCATTTTGCAAGCCATCCATTTTGACAGTTGTTTCAACAAGAGGTTGATGCATGCCTTATTAAATGTTCTTGTCAGAATAAAAAAGATTCAAAGACATAGTTACAGTTGATGTACATCTTTTATTAATTTGAAAGTTTCTAAATAATTTGGGAATCAAATATATTTAAATGACTTGATCATGATGAATGCTCCTGTTATGATATGACGATCATGAACTGACAATCTTAAGTATGAAGCACACATTCAGTACAGAAAAATAAACGTCTCTTCCAGAGTTGTGCGATCCAGTCAGTCTTCTTTGCTTTTAAAGTATATTAAGTGCAATACATCAAGTAAAAAGTTAACAAATGAATTGTGCTCTATCCAGTCATCAGTAGACTAATGTTAACAACATTTTAATGAAGTAATAGTAAATGTTCAAATTAACATTAACAAAAATTAAAAGCTGTGTTGTGTACATGCAGTGAATTATAATCGAGACTATTCTGCTTCCATAAAAATATGCCCTTCGTGTTCTGCGATCTGCATGTTTCGTAACAGTCTATGTTTGTTAATCTCAGTGGCTCCGCTTTCCACTCCATGTGTGTGTGTCTCCACTCTGCTTAATCTTCTGCTCCGTGTGTGAGAGTGCGCTCTGCTCTGTCGCTCACAGCCCAAATGCTCCACTCATGTACCGATCACGCTCACCAGGAAAGCAAAGTCGGCTCAAATAACGTGCGGACATGAAATTTCTCTGTATTCCTGCTGTACTTGTTTCTGTTTGCAATAGCCCTGTGCTGAAACACGTTGTGTATAGCCTTGCTGGACAACCCTGGTAAAACGACGCTACAATCATTCACTGATCCACTCCCTGCTTTCTGCTCACATGCTCTGATAATAATAGTTTTTTTTTTTTTTTTTTTTTTTTTTTAAATCAGATGAATTATTGCATTTAATAATAATACAATTAGCTATATATATTAAAAAATATATATAATAAAAGTCATTTTCGGTTTCGTTTTTTGGCCAAGTGCATCCATATTTTTTGTTTTCAGTTTCGGTCCAGAATTTTCAATTCAGTGCATCCCTAGTTGCTCTATAGACCTGTTAGCTACACTGTAAAACTAAATTATTTTCTAAAGTTTTAAATAAAATTATTGGATGAAATACTATTTAAGCTTTTCTACTTTGAAATGTCACATTTAATTCAATGTGCTGCTTGCTTTTTTGTAACGATTTGTGAAAACTTTTTCAAATGAAATCCTGGCTATCACCTATCAAGGTGGATTCACTAGTAGACAGTTAACCCCACCCTTTACTCCTGCAGAGAGAGAAGATTATGCCACCCGGCTGCCAGGAACTCGGTTAATGCCTTCTAGTCCTGCAGGTAGACCGTTTAAAACTCCCTCAGAGACATTAAACTGATCTCATGCTGTCTGAGCCTCTCTCAGGCATTTGGATTAGAGACCACCCCCAAAGATCTGGCAGAAACTAAGATATGCTTAAAAAATATTCTTGTCACATGCAGTTTTGCCAGGGGTGAAGTTGTTTTTGCTTTTATTTTCACCTTGTAAAATTGGAATTTGTAAACAGATATTTCAGTCCATCCTTAAAAAGAATAAAATCAAATATCCATTATGCTCTTTCTCTTAAATATATTTGTTTACCCTTTTGACAATATCTTCAGATTCAAAGGGTTCACAGGATCTTGCCTGTTGCAATCTTGACAGCCTTTCATCGCGATGCATGGGTTTCACCTCCCTCACAGCTTAAATTAAACCGTGCATCTGTTTTTGTTTGTGTGTTTTTATCAAAGCAGCTTTTCTTGTTTCACTACACATCGAACTGCTATTTTCCCTGGAACTTTTTTTTTTTTCACACACCATGTTGTGTACAAAATTGTTGTTGACAGGGTTTATTATTATTATTATTATTATTGGTTTAAGTGCAATTACAATGGCAGCTGAGTGCTCTCATCACCATTAATCGCTGACAATTAACATGCATGTATCACTTTAACATACTGGCAACTTTCTAATGCGCTGCTGGTGAGTTGTATTGTGATGGTCCTTATCTCGTTTCAGCACATTTCACTTAGCTGAGTGGAGTCAGAGAGCAGTGTATCAAACAGACTAGACCACCGACCACTGTAAGCATCAACGTGTGCATTGAGAAGCTACAATACATGCCGGCCAGTATTTGTAATGCAGTTAGGATTAAGAAAATCTTCAGTGCTCCACAGAAATGAAATTTTTTTGAATGGGTACACTTGATAAACTTTTAATTGATCTCCATTTGAGCATGTGATTTCCATTATTTTCTCTGAATTATTTAGCAGCACAGATACAAAATATTCAGTTCCTGAGTGAAATTCTCTCTGATACTCCGAAAATTCTCGTTGACTGATAATTGATCGTTAATTTTCTGTAATGTTTTGTCTATGTGCACTACCATTCAGGTTGTATCAACATTGTTATGAAATATATTATATGAAAACAGAAAACAGTTATTTTAAATTGTAAAAATATTTGATAATATTACTGTTTTTACTGTATTTTTGATTACATAAATGCAGACTTGGTGAGCATAAGTAACTTCTTTCAAAAACATTAAAAAATAAATAAATACCGACCCCAAACTTTTGACTGTCAATTAAAATCAATCATTTTAAATGTTAGAAGTAAATTTAGGCACCACAACATTATATGTAAAGTTTGAAAATTGTATATTAATTTTTAAATTTGATAAATATTTGCATTAACTATGGCCATGTTACACTAACATCTGAGAACAAGAAATTGTCAAAAATACTATATATATATATATATATATATATATATATATATATATATATATATATTTGAAACCAATTGTGTGTTTTGTTTTGTTACTCTAAAATAATTGGTTTGGGTTTTGAGTTTTATAATGCAAAGACAGATTTAAAACATGCCATATTAAGTGTACTTAAAGTTACTGAGGATATTTGCATTCACATATATGTGTATGTTTCCACAGGTCTCTCTCTGGCCGTATCGTAGGTGGTGTGTGGTGGTTCTTCACTTTAATCATCATCTCCTCATACACAGCCAACCTAGCTGCTTTTCTCACAGTGGAGAGGATGGTGTCCCCCATCGAGAGTGCAGAGGATCTGGCCAAACAGACGGAGATTGCTTATGGGACTCTAGACGCCGGCTCCACCAAGGAGTTTTTTAGGGTGAGAGGTGCCATGAATGAGGTGAAATGTGAAAAATCAGGTGGGCCAGTCTGTTGTGATTGGTTTACCACTCACAGTGTGTAGTGAAATGACCATTACCATAACTGAATTTCAGCTCCAGAGGCTTTCTCAGTGCTTCAATACACAATGATACAAAGAGTAACGCTAGCCTCTGTTTTATCATATCAACATGAGCCCGAGTCCTCATTCTTTTGAAATGCATGCAATGTGGACATGCTTTCGCAGCGCAGAAAACAGCGTCTTCTCAACATGTTGACAACACACTTCCAGACCTCAGCTACAACTGCAGTGTTTGAGAGCGGCTTCTTTTGGAAAGCCATTGAAGATCATAGACTGGCATTATGCTAATATGCTACAAACATATGTAGGTTTGTTTAGGGAGTAAGGCGGCGAGACTTTTTCAAGCAGTTCAGAATCGGTTCGTTCTTTTGGGAAACGATGACTCCATCTATCATGAGCTTTAATTTTTGAAACGTTTTAGATTTTTACATTCTTAAACAGCTACATGAGAGGTAATTCAAACGTTACCACACGTGTGCAAATGCATAATATTTCACTTTCTTTCCTCTTTTAGAGGTCAAAGATTGCGGTCTTTGAAAAGATGTGGTCCTACATGAAATCAGCAGACCCTTCAGTGTTTGTGAAAACCACAGATGAAGGAGTTATACGGGTGAGGAAGTCCAAGGGAAAGTATGCCTATCTGCTGGAGTCTACCATGAATGAGTACATCGAGCAGCGAAAACCCTGCGACACTATGAAGGTCGGAGGGAACCTCGACTCCAAAGGCTACGGCATCGCCACCCCCAAAGGATCACCTCTCAGGTAAAGCCAGCTGTCCACTGTGTGCTGACTGTTTTTGACCATTATGAAAATAACATCAGATCGTGGTTCAGTTCTGGTAGAGGCTACTAAAGGAGTTATGCTCACCTTTGCTTGGCTTAAGTTTTCATCATGTGGTTAAATAAAAAAGAAAAGAGAAACAGATGGGAATTCATTAAAATAAGTATGCCTATCATGTTACAGCACAACACATACTGTATATTTGAATATATTTGAAATTTGTGGAAATATATGTGCTCTTCTCCATCATTTGATGATTGCATGATTGCAAATAAGACGCATTCATAGCAAAACAACAGGTTTGTGCTGAGAATTTCAGTGACTTAATTCAATACTTGCGGCACAACACACACACACACACACAAAAAAAATAAAAATTAGTGCCTGGTTTGCGAATAAGGTGGAGGTTTTTGCCAAGTTGGTGTGGCTTCAGTGAACTCATCTAGTTTCTCTTTTGAAGGACTTTTTAATGATGTTATACATGATCATTTGAACCAAGGACGAGGGTAGAGGTACTGTGTTAAGCAGCCTCTGCTATAACAGAACATCCTGTTGTGTGGGTGAACATGTGTGTGTAGAGCTGTTCAAAATCCCGCCTCTACCTCATGTAGCTTGAAGGGGTTTTCAACACACTCCACCAGAAGTGCTTGCATAAGAAACGACAGGAAAATGACGCGCCCTCTTCAGAAGCCCCTTTAGGAAACACGTGCGTTCGCTGTCCTTTCATTAAACAGCAGCGGCACTTGGCAGAGCCCATTGAGACACCACAGACATTATTCAAGACAGGCACTTTGAAGCTATAGGTCTACTGGATGCTAATTTCAGTTTCTCTACTTCATTCCAAATTACGAAAGCTCTATTCTCATCGAGTGACTTGTGCATGAAAGAAATTGGGCAATCAGTTGTTAGTCTTATGCAAGCCACTTCTAAAGATGAATGTCAACATTAACATGTTTCTTTTTTATTCCCTGCAATATAAGGTGAACAGTTATTTCAATTGTACACCACCATCATTAACGTCACATTTATTGTGCTTGAATGTACCCATCTGACTAATACACCATGGCCCCCATGATATTATATATGATATTACATTCATTGCAGTGCAAAGGGCCTCGCAAGAGCAATTTGGAGCTGTTGAAATAACCTCAATAACTCCATCTCTCTCTAATAAGATAAGCTCCTTGGGGAAACGACCTCATAGCAATTGTAGAGTCATTTTTTGGGTCACCTTATAGCAAAGGGAACAGGGGTAGAGGGTGGATGGAGTGGGAAAGAGAGAGACGTCAGATACAAGATGTAAATGACTGACTTCCATCTTGCCACCCAGGGCAGGACTCGAATTAAATTTAATACTACATTGACAGCAAGAGCGAAAGAGGCTCGGAAATGGATTCATAAATGTGTTTCAATGTCTGATGAGTTAGCAGCTGTGCTGTGTATATCTGATTTTGAGAGAGAGCAACTCCCTTCCTGACATGTTTACATGAGCCAGTAGATTCTAGATGAGCACCTACTGCATTATTTCAACATGTGAAAGACAATGGGAGATTTCACTCTCTCTGTTAAAATCAATAAACACTGAATTGAGCATTTAGATTTTTTGTGATTTGCAGAATTAACCATGTGGTGCAGTTGTCAAAATGTAATAATGCTCCTGTGTGTCTTTACTTAATATTGCATTTTATGGCTTTATTTACAATCAATTGTATTATTTTAGAGACATCTGGCTTGAAAGCTTGTTTACGCCTCAGAATGAAACAGTTTAAAAGATAATTGTGACTTTTTTTTATCTCACAATTCTGACTTTACAACTCATAATTGCAAGTTTATATCTCTGAACATAAAAAGTCACAATTACCTTTTTTGTATTTTTCATTCAGTAGCGGAAACTAAGTTCCATACTGATCAGGGGTGCGTTTCCCGTACAACGACGTAGTTCGCTGATTCACTGCCATAGTACGATGCATCGTTGGAAAAATCAACTAGCTAGTCACGACTGTTTCCCGAAACCCACTGTCGCAAAGTATCGTTCAACCACGTTGGTTTCGCACGTGGTGGAGTAATAACTACTCTTAATGAAACTGTTTGAGATCCAATTAACGCTAGATTTCTTTTATATAAATTACAGACATGTCATCCGAGGACTATTTCTAATTGTTCTCAGTTGTTCTGCTTTATTACCAGACTCAATATTTGGCTCGTTCTTACATAGTAGAGCACGTTCGCACATGCGCACTCTTCAAACACGTTACTTCAAATCTTTTCAAAAACTAAAAGACATAAATTCCATTTGTATGTATTCTAAATAAAAGGCACCGGTTGTACTGAATGTCAGCTTGCTTATTTTGCTCAATATAAGGATTTATTACGTCCAAATGTCATGCAATATAGAAACGATGCCTCAAACGACAGGTCGAGAGCTGTCGTTCAAACCACCCAATTTTGCGATGCTGTTTGCCAATGTTCGTTGGAACGATGGTTTCGGGAAACACCGACTCGTAGAACTATGCAGATAACGACGGAACTTGCGATCAGAGTTGGCAAACGATTTGGTTTTTGGTTTTTAACGTCTATAAATCCATAAACATATTTAAATATATATATATATATATATATATAAATTCCAATTAATCCTCTAATCATTAAACCCTCTAATTAAAAATCAAACATTGCAACTGAATTATTCTGATCAAAGGCTTTACTCCTTACTATTTTATGTTATGGTCTGCTAGTCTCATCTTGCTGAACAATTTCTTAACAAAGATGTTAATTGATCTTTTGAACTTGTTGTACTTCACTTTGTGATTTATAGGTTAATTTACTGACTGATGGAATAATCGTTTGTTTTGGTGCATTTTGACAGCTGTTCCACATTTTCCTTGTCTTATCTCAAACTGATACCTTAAATCGGTTTGTTTTAGTCAGGATGTGACAGCCCTAAAGATTGATGTGTGCGCCCTTTTATCTCTATTCATCTGTGCCATTCTTTGAGTTTAGTCAATGAAATCATCTCACCCAAAGCACTGCCACCTCCTGAAGCAAATGCTTATCAAACTGAATGTAGCTGTTTGTTTCTCATTCCTGAGACACTCTCTGACTTCTTTCTGTCTCGTACTTCTGCGATTAGAAAGAATTCCTGGGTTTTATCAAGCCAAAGAATCACTCCCTATAGAGGCAGAGCTGCAGATGACATTTGCTCACAACGCAGATCGGCCAGCCGATTCTGTGGGTCGTGAGGAGATGTATATTTGTGCCTTTGAACTCTATGGGTTGTTTAAGACCTGACGATGGAGAAGAAAAAAAGAGAGACACGCTTCAGATGTGTTTCTTGATATCAGTCATGGGGGCGGGGGGGTTAAAATCAAAAATTCAATTTTTATAATAATTTACTCTCTCATGTTCTGTATAATGGTATTGCTACTATGAAAACGCAACAAGAGAAGATGTGAGTAGAATGTTCATGCTGCTCCTTTCAAACCATGAAAGTGAATGGTGACCCAGTTCCAAAAATGACAAAAAGCACCATAAAAGTAGTCCATACTTAGAAACTTTTCTGCTGCAGCTCTTAATTTGTGTATTTTAAAATATGGTGCATAGCATTGTTTGTGAAATGGACTAGCCAGTCAGTTTTCCAAAATTGTAGTAATTTGACGAAAAAATTGATGCACCTCTTGATTGACATAAATATTACGATGCAGTTTCCATCAAGAGGTGCATACATTTTTGGTCAAGATCTTGTATTGACAGTGCAAGAGTCAAGCACTCAGTAAAGTCTACTGCAACACATCCCAAAGTTCTTCAATGAATTTAAGATCTGGACTCAGAGGTGCCAATTTATATGTGAAAATGATTCTTCATGCTCTCTCCCAAACATTCTTTGACAGTTTGAGCCTGATGAATCTTGACATTATCATCCTGGAATATGGCCATGAAATGTCTTCCTACATGGTTGTTTAAGAAACGAAAAGCTACACACTCCACCATTCAGGGTTTAAAGAACTGTTGCCAAACATATAATATGCTAGAAACATTATAATCACAGCTTCAATAGTCCAGTTATATACTATTAAGTATTTGCCTATTTATATATTATACATTGGTCACCATTAATCTTCTTTGAAATAAGCAATTTCAAGAAAGTATTCTGTTTAGGGGAAAAAGAAAGAAAAGGAAAGAAACAATTTGGTTTGATGGGGAAGAAATTATGACAGAATTTTAATTTTGAATGAACTCACTTTAAGAATTTGTCTAATGTCTTTAGTCTGATGTTTTAGATTCACATTGTGACAATTCCCTAAAAGGGAAGAACCAAATGCAGACAGCAAAAACCAAGAACATCTAAGGACATCTTTTTTCTTCTCCTCTGTCTGAAGAAGTCTTGTTCTTTTGCTTTATAAAACCTGTCTTTCACAAAGGCCACTAACAAAAGCATTGTTCTCCATTAAAACACGTTAACATACTTTATATACAGACTCAGGCCAAAACCACTGCAAATGCCATGCATTTAACATTTCAACTTACATAGAGCAGTGGCTGTTTTGTTCAAATCAGTTTGAGTTTGTTCTCCCATCACACTGTCTCTGAAATGGTTTATCTGGGCTGACACTGACCAAAATATTATTTCATTATTGTTTCAAGAAACCCAGTAAACCTGGCAGTGTTAAAACTGAATGAACAAGGCCTGTTGGACAAATTGAAAAACAAATGGTGGTACGACAAGGGAGAGTGTGGCAGCGGAGGAGGTGATTCCAAGGTCAGCCCCAATGTGACAAACCCAACGGGTAAAACCACCACTACCATGGGGGGGGTAACCGGCAACTCACGCCGACCAAACACTCTAGATAAAAACAATCTGATCTCAATTGAGCCTACTACTAGCAAATGTAGTTTGATTAATAGCAAGTCAAGTTTTCATCAAATTATGGCATATCATGACAAGTAGTCAATAATAGCCAACCGCATTCAAGTTATTCCAGACGGAGTGTTTGCGGTCTGCCGGTTACCCAAAGTGATATAATAATGCACATCTTGCAGCAGGGAGCAAGGAAGCATCGCTAGATGGAGTATTAACCCATATCACTTTTACAATGAACTACCAACATGTTTCTGATATGTGTGCAGTCAATTAAAAAAAAAAAAAAAAAAAAAAAAAACACAACAGTTGAGTTGATATTGATGGGTATGTGTTTAATGTGTGCTGAATAACATAAAATAACATGGATAATGTTATTTATGTTATTTCCCTGGTTGAAGAATCCCAGTTAACCTAGCGGTGTTGAAACTCAGTGAGCAAGCCGTCTTAGACAAACTGAAAAACAAATGGTGGTACGATAAGGGGGAGTGTGGAAGCAAGGACTCCGGAAGAAAGGTCAGTTCACACATTTGGTCCTGCTCTGTTCCCCTCAGTTTAGCCTTCCCAGAACCCTCTCAGAAGGTTCAGTAAGGATCTGGACATGGCCGGCTCTTACTCTCTCTCCAGAGTTGTATTCTTTGATTTGGGCTGGAAGAGGACAAATTAAAAGGCTTGTGAATATATTTTATGCTTGATTTAGATTGAAACTGCTGGTACCTTCAATTAATTTTGAAAAACTTGTGCTCGTATTAGAATATTCATATACTACTTACTGATTTACAGGTTTAAACTAGCAAGCAAACATGCTATTACTGAAATATACAAAATGATGTCCTCTTCCACATGTGACTGGTGTTCAGTTACCAATTTGGTTGTAGACACTGCCATTTTGCATTTTTAATTCAATTTTGTGTAAAAGCATCTTACCTTTTGACAGTCAGGTCAAAAAATATAAAAAAAAAGCTTTTTTTTTTTTCTTGTTCATTCATCACACTGGAAATGGAAAGTCAAGTTGTGTGCAGTTTGCACCCTGCAGTGTTAAAAGATTGGCGTTGGAAAGAATGAAAAAATGTTTTTGAAATAAGTCTCTTATGCTCCAAGGCTGCATTTATTTGTTTAAAAATACAGTAAAAACAGTGATAATGAAGTTTAAAGAGTGGTATGTTATTAGTAAATGTCATAAATGACAAATTTGTGTATATGTAATTAATTAGATTCTAAGATTAAATAAATTAGATTAAATTGTAAGCATATTCCTTTGGGTTTTTTTAATGCAGACAGGTTTCTTCCTATGTTTTGAATAAGTCAGGGAAATTTTGTATTTAAAAATGGTAATATATAATATGATTTTTATATTATTAATTCAATTGTATTAATAGTATGTCTAGCTCCAGGAGTCGTGTGGCGAAAAGGCTATTATTATAGACTGGATGACTCGCTGTATGTTACACACACTTTGTTTAAAATAGCCTGATGGTCTGAATGGAGCTCTGGAGAGAGACTCTGATCATCCGTAAGAGTCAAGCCCCCTTGTGGTTCTCAGCCTCTGTGTTCTTCCTTCTGTCTGCCCTTGGAGTGTGCATGTATTTGGATGCAAACCCAGTGGACAGCTGTCTCTGCTGTCATAGGCCCCAGTCGCCACACACCCCCACCGCACCAAACCCACCTGCATGGCACACACACCTCCCTTAGTTTGCCTTCCGGTAACACTTTACAATAAGGTTTCATCAGTTAACATTAATTAGCTACATTATTTAACGTGAACTAATAAGGAACTGCACTTCTACAACATGTATTAGTCTTTGTTAATGTTAATTTCTACATTTACCAATACATTATTAAAATCAAAAGTTGTATTTGTTAGCATTACTGTCAATTAACAAAACAAGCTGTATTTTTTATAAACTAACATTAACAAAGATTATTAAATACTGTAAAATATGTATTGATCATAGTTAGTTCATGTTGGTTAACTAATGGTAACAAATGAAACCTTATTGGGTAACACTTTACTTGAAGGGGTGTGCATAAGACTAACATGACACCTTCATAATCATGACATATAAGTAAGTTGTATGCATGTTTGTGACAACTGTTATTAAGTGTCATTCACTTTTTAATGCAAATATGACATTGTTTGAGATGTCTTAGTTATGACACCTTGACATAAACCAATACATCATAACCTGTCTGTGTCTTTGTCATGACAACTTGACATTACTAAGACAACACAACCTGTCATAAACATGACAGAGCAGATTAATTATAAAACTTAAGAAACCACCTAGCTTTATTGATTAACATTACATTAAACTATCAGGTGGTTGGTTTTGACACTGCCTGTCATGAAGCCATTATAACTCTTTAATGATAAATTCAATTAGTACCACTGCAGTTGAGGTCATGAAAAATATTCATGACACAGTTATAACAGCCTTATGACAGCCAATGTCAAAGCCAACCACATGACAGTTTAACTTAATTTTATGTCAAGTTGTCATGACAAAGACACTGACAGGTTATGATGTATTGGCTTATGTCAAGATGTCTTGACAAAGAAATCTTAAACAATGTCATTTGCATTCAAAATGTCATTATTGAGCGAAATACACTTATGTCAGTCTTATGCACACCCCTTCAAGTAAAGTGTTACCCCTTATTGTAAAGTGTTACCTGCCTTTCTTAGAGAACAGGTTCCACTCCAATTAAGCTCCTTAGATTGTTATTGTCCTTATAAAGAAAATGATCACCTTTGAACAACTACAAATCCAAATCTCCTTAGATTCATGGCCTGAGCTGCATGGGTGCCAACCACTAATATAAACATTTGCAGCTGTTATACTGTATGTGTATGTTTTGAAAGATTTTAATTATGGAGATGCTAATTAGTGGGATAAATAAACGAGTGTTAAATTAGTCAAAGGTGAACACAGACTGCCTGTGTTGCTGCATGAATGCATGTTCCTAAGGCCTAAATGACAATTTGTGCCATGTTTTAAGATTTATGTTTTATATATTAAAATAGTTAACCTTTATAATTTAATGGTTATTAATTAGTATATTAATATTATATATTAATATTAATATTATATATATATATATATATATCATTAGTATTAACATTTATTGAATTAGTTAATATTAATAGTAAATATAATAGTATTTAATATAATAATATATTTATATTCGTTATACTAACATAATTGGATTCATAATGAATAATATTATTGATTTATGAATATAACTAAATCTATTAATATTTTAATGATATTATATAGTCAGGTCTTGTCTGAGCAGGAAACATTTTTAGCAAACTTGCAACATTGTTCTAGACAGTTCTTATTTTAGCGTTTATGTCTATGTTTAGATGTTCGGTGATGAATGCATAAAGTGTATTGTCTTTGTCCATGTGAATTTGTTAACGCTGTGTATACAGTAACTCTCATCTAAAACGCTGTTCCTTCTCCTGTAGGACAAGACCAGTGCTCTTAGCCTCAGCAATGTGGCTGGGGTCTTCTACATTCTGATCGGTGGTCTGGGTCTGGCCATGCTGGTGGCCCTGGTGGAGTTCTGCTACAAGTCCAGAACAGAGTCCCGCAGAATGAAGGTGTCTGCGCGGGCCACTCAGGCCTTTCACTGCACCGCCTTAGACAGCAGCTACACTGAGCTGCAGAGTTACGGCCTGTACGGTCCCGACACTGTTAAGATATAAAGCACTCTGGGGTAGGAACCTCAAGTACCGCGGAAAACTAGGCCACATCCTGCCCACACAGCAGCCTAAACTGCCCCCCATCTAAACGTCACCAGAATCAAAGCTTCTGCTGCCCACTTTCAATATCATCCTTTTTTCCACAACCTCTTCTTTTTCTGTTTCTTTTACTCTGTTGTTTTAAAACTAGGCCTGTCAAAAAAATGTAAATGAAAAAAAATTGATAATTCTGCAAAAATTGCTATGATTAATTTGATCAAAATTAATTGCATACATCAATTTTATTCATTTTAATTTAAATGTGTTTTCTTTATTTTAATATTTTAAAAAAAATTTTTTTATCATTTTTTTTTAATTGTTGGCGTATGTAAACATGCAGACAACATTTATCTTGACAGCCCTATTTAAAACGTCTAATCTAATCTCTCTTTATCTCTTTCTCTCCCTCTATTTCCTGCTCCCCTCAGTTTCCCGTTGGCTGCTAGCCTCTCTGTCCATAGACTAGAGCTTTGTTTATATGCATCGTGTCTCTGTTCATTCATGAAACAGAGCAAGTGTTCCCTCGGAGACACTGCAGGTCTCTGTTTTCCACCATGGCTCCAAAAATAGTCAGTCTAGATTTATGATTGTGCTTAATTAAGCTTGTGTGCTCATTCATACATTAAAACCTAAGTCAGATCGTACCTAATGCACTGTGCTGATGCACAGTTGATCAAAAGTATCTATCAGGTAATAATTTATTTTATTCAGGCCAAACTGACAAATCAAAGAAACCCATTGCAAAAAAAAGGTCATTGCTGAACGCAACTCTGTGAATATACAGATACCTCAATATGATTTTTGTAACAAGTATCTTTATGACAGGCAATTACCCAAAGTAGGATTTGTAGCAAATTTAGCTGGGTATTACACACTCGTGTAAAGCCATAATAGCACAGATTAATATAGATTTGCTATGTTAATTTAATTGACAGGAGTCACATTTCACAGCTGTCCGTTTTTCATATTAGGCGAGCAGGGATCTGAGTCATTATGGGCAAACTTATTAGTCTCTATCAGGCGTATAGCTTCATCCCCCAACGCTTTGAAGTGTAGGGCAATGAAATCATAGATTGGAAAAATGCGATTTAAAGGGACACATCATTAACCTAGGTTTCAGACCCACTGGCTGTGACAACAATACCAGATTGCTCTTCACAACAGCAGCAATAAAACGATGACATTTCTCACTTCCCCACCACCGTAGCAAATTAAGATCGTGTTACACGCCTATCAAGACTGTTTATTGTCTACCCACATGTCAGAGATGCTTTACAGTGTCAGCTTTGGTTTTGAGGGCCTAAATACGGTGGTCCTTGGGGGCACAATGTAACGACAGCAGCAAAGCAATTAAAAATTGACAACACAACAGAATTAGCCCACAACACATCTTTAATGCAAATAAGGGTCACGAATCATTTTGAACAGAGTGCTCAGTACAATTATGGGTAGCACAGCATGGAATTGCAACACAGGCTCATGGGTAACAACGTGCCTGTGGCAGCGTTTCTGCAAAATGTCGCTGCTTGCACGTTTTGCAACACTTTCAAAGTGAAATGTCCAGTGAGTGGCGCTAAAAATGCATTAGAAACAAAAGTTGTGTGAATCTGGCCATGTTTTGTCATGGTGCTAAAAGGTCAATGGTCTATCGCATTTGAAAATACTGGCACCTATACTAAACCTAATTGATAGTGTTAACAATAGAATTCGAGAGATGAAATTGCATTTGCTGAAGCAACCATGTCATTTTATATTGCTTCTAAATGTCTTTGAGCTTTATTATTGTTTCACGGGACATCGCAAGAGCAATGCTGTACCAGGTGAGCGACCAAGCCAGTTTATTACCTTCAAAAAACCCATACGGAGCTCATTATGTGATGCAAACATAAAACAATATTAGTTTACAAATTATGCACTATGGTAAAAAATGTTTTGAGGTCATAGCATGTCCAATGAATCTTTATTAATCGATAATCTGCCAATATGCTTAAAAAGGAATAAAAGTGACTTTACTGCCAGTAGTGTCCTAGACAGCAACATAGTGTCGGCCCAGATCCAGCTCACATCTGGTACAAATGGATTCCTCACAGTCCAGATGTTGGCCGGATCTGGGCCGACACTAAAGAGGCTTTTGCAATGAGTAGTTCTAGGAACTTCCTTGAGAACTAAAGGTTCCCTTAGGAACATTTTCCTGGTTGCATTCGCACCGCCAGTAAGAACTCTGAATTGACTTAAGTCGTGCTTTTTGTTGTGGCTCATTTCAACAGCACGGCGGACGTTTACTTTTATAGTGCTGAGAACGCCGGCCAGCCAGATCCACACAGTGCTCCCATTCTCCTTGTTCATTAGTTTACAATCTGTCTAACAGTCCTTTCTAATACGTTATTATACTGTTATACATAGAAAGTATTCGTATGCCATGGGGTCGATGACACTGGACATCAGTGTTTTTAGTTGCGTTGGATTATCACTTTCGTTTATCAGCGTACAGTAACGGATAGTTCCTATAGTGTTGGATTAGACCCTACTCTGAAGTAGGAGCTAAATTAGTTCCTCCAAAAGGAGTTCCTACTAAAATCGATCCTAGTTCCTGTGGTGCAAACACACCAAAATCCATGTACTTCCGCCAATTTAACTTTGAAATGTTGCTGTCTGGGGTTCATAACTGATGTTAATAGTGTGTATAGGTATCAGTTTTGCAAAAATGAAGGTAGATGCAAATTTTCTCAATGAGCCTAAAGTATGTTGTGGAATTGGTAGGTTTTCAAGTGGAAATGAGTGATACTATTGTTATTTATTATAACAATTTTGCTAATATCGGATTGTTTCGTGAAATGCATCATTAGTTTCATTAGTGTTTGATCTTTTTGCTTTGCTAAAGGGGTTGTGCTGTGCCCTCTAGGCCATTATGCTGATCAATTAAGTCAGGAAACCCAAAAGATGAAAATCTGTTGACATAGACCTCACAAATGTTGCCTAACTAATTATCCAGTCATCACATGACGAAACATTTTATGTGCATACTCCATTAGGCAGATGCTTAAATCATCACCCTACTAAAATTGAGCATCTTTCAAACATTTCCATTTTCCTGTCTAACGCTGTTGTATCTCCATCCCAGCAATCCATCAACGACGCCATGCGCTGCTCCACGCTGACCAGGATGAGTGGGAACGGTAGCGGTGGGGAGAACGGGCGGATCGTCACACATGACTTCCCCAAAGCTGTGCAGACGCTGCCGTGCATGAGCCACGCGGCCAGCATGGGCCTGGGAGCCTCTGGCATGTGACCATCTTGACGGAGCGGCACGCGTCACATGTAACGCACGGACCTCCCGTTCACCTGCCGTCTGCCCCTATGTCTGTCTGCTCGCCCGCAACAGACGCACCGTACTGCCAAAATGCACTCGAAGACTCTTCTCAGTGAATAGCCACCAATAAAACTCTTTTCTAAAGAAAGACGAAACATTTTAAAAGAGGGGGGAAATGTGCTGCAATAACAAGCCTGTGGGACTCTTTTGGGGGGGGGGAAATGTTAATTTATGTCATGAATTTAAAAAACAAAAAGTGAAGTCACGTGTCTGATTCGACACTCGCCCTGTGCCAATATTATAAACCTGTTTACTTCTGTCTGAGTGTGCAATATTTTAGTTCATATCAGTGTTCGACAATGTTGTCTCTAACTTGATTTTCTTTACAAGAAATAGCTCACAGAGTTTCTTTACAAGGATTTTGCACAGATATGTTCTATGATATGACAAATACAGCATTTCTGTAAGTTCCTTTACCTTATACTTACTAAAAAAAAAAGAGTTGAAGCAAGCTAATGAGCAAGATCTTATTCATTAAGATGGATCCAGTGCACCGTAAACAACTTTGCTCCTTTCTCTCCATCACTGCATATTGAAGAAACATATCAGCTCATTTAAAGACGTGTCGATAGTGTAAATACTCTGATGTAAATCTGAGACTGAGTAAGGGATAAATTTGATTTGTTGTCGATTGGTAGAACATAGCTGAAATGAACTTGTTGATAATCTTGCTCTGTGATTTCCCACCTTATGTACCTTGCATAGCTGCTGCGCCTAGTTTCAGGCACCATACCTCATCGGAGACCTGGGAGTGAGCCGCCACGTTTTGATTGCCACTTCTTTGTGAGCTCTCCCAGGAAGGAGGAAAATTTGACCTCAGTTATGGGCAAATGAGCTAATTTGTCCCCAACACAAACCATTGGGTCTCACTAAGGTGAAGCCAAAGAGTATGCTTGAATGATGGTGCTGTAACGTAACAAAAAAGGACTTATTATGATACTTTGCTAATGATTCTTTCACCCACAATTAGGCCTGCATGGGATATCCAGAGATTTCCACCAAATCCAAATGCCCATCATTGAGTCTTTTTATATATCCCCTGTCATATTTGGCTAATTTGATAATCCTAAAAGTGTGACTCTATATATATAATTCATTTAAAATCCATTCAACAAAATTGTCCCCCTCAATTAGTGCAAAATTTGTAAATAAATGGATGTGGGCCTAAGGCTAAAATTATCATCATTTACTCACCCTCATGTCATTCCAAATGCGAAATTTTCCTCCGTGGAACACGCACAAATATTTTGAAAAAAAAAAAAAAGTTGTTTTTTGTCCATAAAATGAATTTAATGACTTTGGACCGCAATGACTTTCATTGTTTAAACAAAAAACATTGATATTCACAGAAGAAAGTCTTGCAGGTTTGGAACGACATGAGGATGAAAAAATGATAGTTTGTTCCCTTTTTGTTTTCACTCCGAGTTACATTGGATGACGACACGTCACCACTCGCTGATTTCATCCGCCTTTCCTCCCCTCGATGGGGCAGCTGCCCGTGGGTACACTGGGCTCCCCTCGGTTGAACGCTCTGTTGCAATGCAACTGTGTCCTCAGAGTGCTTCTCGCGGCGAGCCTAAGAACCCATCCAAAGCCTGTAAATTTTCGTCTTCATTTGTGGCGAAATCTTACAGAGTGGTGGGACAGGCAGCTGCTTTTCTCTGCATGCTATAGCCACTCTGCAGGTCTACCAGGCTCAGATACTCAGAGACATGCACGAGAGTAGGACAGACCCAGGGCTCTTTGATGAGCTCCGTGCCGCCACCGACCTCCCTCTCCCAGGCAACAAAGGTGACCGCATGCTCCCTGGATTTGGTGACGTCCACAGCCATGGTGCAGGAGAGACTTCTCTGGCTGAACCTGGCCGAGATGAAGGACGCTGAGTTGTCCCGGCTGCTCGACACCCCATGTCCCAGGCTGGCCTTTTCGGTGGTGCAGTCGAGGACTTTGCCCAACAGTACTATTCAGAGGCAGACTGAGGCCATAAAGCACATCCTGCCCCGTCAGCCCGCTGCTGCCTCCACCCAGCCAGCCGGGCAGGTGCCTCAGTCTGCTCGCCCCAAAGGGCGCCCTCCTGCGGCTCCCACGCCTTCACCCGGTCCGGTCCTGCAGGAAGCCATAAGAAGGCACCCCAGACCTCTCCAGCACCACCCCATGCTAAACGCCAGGCCAAGCGGTGCTCCTGAGACGAGCTGCTCAGGAATGATTGTCAATTTGCGCTGGTGGCTACCATCACTTCCGCTAGAGCATCGTCCACGAGACACACCTACATGTTGAAGTGGAACCTCTACATCAACTGGTGCTCTTCTCGACGAGAAGAGCCCTGGAGATATTCGATCGGTGCTTTCATTCCTTCAAGATGGGTTGGAGTGAAGGCTCTCTCCCTCCACCCTCAAAGTATACGTTGCCGCTATTGCCGCACACCATGATACATTGGAAGGTAACTCCGTAGAGAAGCAAGACCTGGTCGTCAGGTTCCTGAGAGGAGCGAGGAGGCTGAATCCCTCTCGGGACCTCTCAGTGGTTCTAACTGCCCCACAGAGTGCTCCCTTTGAGCCTCTTCAATCAGTGGAGATTAAGTTCCTGTCTATGCTGGTTGCACTGCACTGGTTCTCACTGGATAGTGGATGCCATTGCTTTGGCATTCCGGCAGCAAGGTCGACCGTGGCCCCTTTATGTGACTGCCCACTCCACCCGGAGTGTGGCATCCTCTTTGGCTCTAGTGCATGGTGCATCGCTAACAGACATCTGCAGAGCTGCAGGCTGGGCGACACCCAATACTTTCGTCATATTCTACAATCTCCGAGTGGAGCCTGTGTCCACTCATGTACTTGCTTCAAACAGCTAGTACTGGACCTGCTCCGGTGTCTACAATTTCTCGCCAATCCACGTATCCAGTCCGCCTCCAGTGTTTATGGTCCCTCCCCTGAGTGACCCCCACATGTGTATTTCCACTGTAAGTCTCTCTGAGCATGTGTCTTTCCCTTTGCGAGCCAGCTTGCCACCCCTGTGGTTGAAATATTCCACCTGCGGCTGGACAGCCCAGTGTTCTCTATACCTTACATACATTTCTTTGCCATTGGCTCGTTTTGTAATACTAAAAAAAAAAACAGGATTTCCAAGCGAAACACCATTCGTCGTCATCTGACGTAACGTCTCCATTCCCTACTCAGGGAACGAGGGTTACATATGTAACCGAGATGTTTTTTTTGGGTAAACTATCCTTTTAAGTTGTTATGTGTTAATAGAACGGACAAAAAAGCAAATCAGCCAGGCCTACAAGATCCCAACATAGTCTGTTCTGTCTTATAGACACACAGTACAAAAAGACTCCTCATGAGATGATGTTGGTGGAGATATTGATCGGCTTCCTGGGTCAAGCTGACCTTTTAGAGCTCTTGGCTTCATCACTGCAGGCTTTCAGAACATGGCTTCCAGCTCTACCTATTCAGCCTTCCCCTGCACACTGCCATTGTACCGCGAAACATGACACACTGTGTGGCCATCGAAACTCTTATATTTCTCTGGCTTTTTTTTTTTTTTTCTTGACGTGTTTTATTAGGCACAGAGCACTGAGGTCCTTTATGGCCTTGTGTGAGAGCAGTATTTTATAAGCAGTAAAAGATTTGTAAAGTTCAAGTGAGACATTTACCATTTATACCGCTGCGAGATTTTGAAGAGTTGATTGAACTGGTGTTTTACACATTGCTGAAGCATATTCTAATGACAGATATTCTCACTGATAAGGATGATGATTTTGATTAGTTAAGAGAGTCTTTGAGAGTCTTTGTGTTTCTGCTATAACAATGTTGATACTTCTTATTTTGGGGGTATTTTAATGCAAAATGTATTCTTCATTCTCACCTACTTCTTGACTTTTTCACAAACTTTAGCATTTTATTTGGGATGTTATTGATTTATTTTTTTTTTTTTTTTTTTTTTTTTATCATACAGGAGAGATGTGGTTGAAATTTTACTGGAAAATACATTCAATCAATAATGAATAAAACTTTTTTAACCACAATCATCAAGAGTCTGGGCTTTTCAAAAATGTGAAATAAATTACATTTTATCCATATATATTTTTGGTTGTGAATAGGCTACTTGTGCATTTGGTGTTTTTAATGTGTTCAAATTAGAAAAAAAAAAAATTATTGTTATTTTATATAAATAATGATTGCTGAAAAGCAGGGTGATTATTCATTCATTAATTGGCTATCTCTAAAAGATTGTTGTTTAATGTATTTCCTACTGAACTCTAGGCTTGACTCACTGTAGAGTATTTTAATTACCTACAGGTGCATTCCACACATAATCACTGATGTTTAACCAGTTGGCACATGTTGCCTCAAACTATTCATTTTAGGACTTAATAATTATTTAATCTTTGTCAATTTGAGCTCCCCTGCAGAATTAACGGAAGGAGATAATTGGGATGCCTCGTGGCTCTCATTATGGAGATGTTAACAAAATATGGAACAAAGAAACAGGTGTTTTCCCCCTCATTTTTTGTTTGGTGTGATGCCATACATCACATTTAAATTCTCATCAAGGCATCCTACAGAAATGTAATCGTTCTACAACTGCATTATCGAGCAAGATAAATTAGGCATGAAGTAAAAAATAACCAAGTCACAGCTGTAGCCAATATTTTTCACAAAAATACATGAGCTGAAACTTCAATGATCACCCATGTCTTTTTCAGTTCCTTCAGGATCCCTCAGCCACACTTAGAGATGCATTAGTAATAACTGAAGTTTGTTTTCTTTCCTTAAGATTTGTGCTCCGGAGACTCATTTGTGAAATTCTATCAAGATGATTTGTTGTGTAATTCCAGATATGATAGACAGGCCTCTGTTGTGACTGAATTTCTTTTTTGCATATCAGATTTATAATCAGTTCTGCTCTATTTCCATGTAGGACAGTTTATTCTAAAAGCTGGCATGCTGTACAAAGTGTCAGATGTGGCATTTTCAGCATAGTCCTCTTATCCACCGTGACACTGGAGAAAATGAAAAATGAACCTCTTATTTCCCCAGAGGTTGGTGACACAAGTTAACCTCCTTAACTTCCTTGATCTTCCAGAACATCATTACTTTCTAAAGTTTGACTTTGAGTTGCTTTTCACCATTTCTAGATCAGTTTCCTCAGCGTCCGTTCATTAGTTATTATGGTTACTCATGGGTTAATTAATGTTTGCACTTGATGTTCATTTAGGTGTAAGCTCTGTGTTCATTGCAGTTCTTTGTCTGTTGTCATCAGTGTTGCCAGATCTCGCGAGACAAATAAGCAACCAGCCCAGTGAAAATAAGCAGCCCATTCTCACCCCCAAGGCATCACCTAACTGACGCCTTGGGAAGCATTTTGACCATGCTTCAATATCTGACGCTTTAGGCGCCCTTTAGCGTCAGTTAGATGACACCCTAGGATCGCGTGTAACCCTACCTCTACCCCAGACCTAAACATCATCTAACTGGCTTTTCCTTTAGTGTCAGTCAGATGACGCCTTAGGATCACCTAAAGCGTCTAATATTTAAGCATGGTCAAAGGTGACGCCTTGGGGTGAGAATGCGTTGAAATAAGCCCAAAACAAGTGACTTTTTTTTCTCATAGACAATAAAAGAGCTTTTTCTATGGAGTCCCCCAAGGTCCCCCATTCTTGCAGCTATTCTTGTTTCATTCAGAAATGAGAGAAGAAGTTAATGGCTTACTGATAAATCATTCCTGAATGAATGTGTTTTTGAACAAATTTCTTTTTTTTTTTTTTTTTTTTTTTTTTAAATATCTCACTCATAGATACTCACTTGTCAGCACTGTCACTGATCACCGGAGTTACTGAAAATTCCCTCCACCAATACACAAACAGCCCATTTAGCTTGTCTGTGGAACTTGCAAACACAGACAAGCAAAGTGATACAAACAGTGAAAAGTCACTCTTGGAATGCAGCTCAGCCAATCAGATTCAAAGGTACTGTTGTACTAGTATTCTTAATCTGGGGCACTGCATACTGCAATAACATCTTTGACATCATCTAACCAAAAGACTTGAAAAGCATCCAGAATAAAAGAAAACCTCAATTTTAAGGCAGTCTAAAATAGCAGTATGCTTCCGGATCGCCTGAGCTGTTTGATTGCCCACACTGTGACTGTGGCATTGTAATGTGTGTGATTGTGTGGGCCTGAACAGCATACATAATGAAGGCACAGTGTGGGTGTGTGAGACGCCATGAGAGGATCCATGACACCTGCCACTGTGCCTCAATCCCACGCTCTTTCTTTTCCTTTCTTTGCACACTCCTCCATGTGAATTGTATTACTTCCTATCAATCTATCTCTCTTCTTTTTGCCAGCACAATCAAGTCACAGCTGCTTTTATCTGAGCAGAGGTTCTCGGACCCCGAACATTCATGAATATATTACCCGCAGCAGTGATGTACTATGAAAAATACAAGCAAAGGATATCTTAAGTGACATCCAGTCTCCTGCCTAAGCTTCTCGGCTCCGAGATTGATATTTATCATGAATAGTAAAGGGGGCAGAATATTTGATCTGGGTCTGATCTGACACTACCATCCCATCATTGAGAGACAGAATGGCTCTGGGCAACGCGGTTCATGGTGGATGGATCGACGTGGTCTGAAGAAGCAAACATATATGAACCATGACAGAAAGTCATCTCCCTTTAAATCATATCATACTTTCCATGCAATTACAAGGGTTAGAAGCGTACAGTGGTTTTTTTTTTTTTTTTTTTTTTAAGCAAAAGCACTGTATACCATATTTAGGCAATGAGCCATTATCTGACTGGATTGTTGAGTCAGTGAGTTGAACTCGAAATTCTGAACAGATTATTTCATGAATGAATCGTTTATGCGAACATGATGAAATTCATTAAAAATATCACTCACAAGAACTGTTTGTTCACCTACCAGAAAAAAAGTAGAGCTTAGGATTTTTTTTTTTTTATAAATTATGTTATATTAACAAAGTTCAGGAGGAGCATGTTCAGTTAATTAACACGAGTGAAGTGCACTCAGCAATCAAACCTTTTAAACCTTATCCACTCTAATTAAACCATATCCACTCTAATTGTATGCAACTCGTGAAATAACAACAAATTTAAATGTGACTCTAATAAAGACAATGAATATGGACGCCCATTTCTACCACTTAAAAAACTGATGATTATTAGCCACATTTAGATACTAAGTCATAATTGTGTGTGACATTTTTTTATTATGAAGTACTAGGTCGTCATTATGACAAAGTCAAAACTTTCAAAGAGTCATAATTATGGCAAAAAATCTGCAGTGTGATAATTTCAAATCTTTGTCATAATTCTGAATTGTCACAATGTTGACTTTTTAATTAACATAATGACGTAGTGCTTAATTTTTAACTGATATCATAATTATGATTTACAAAGTCATTTTTTTCTTCTGTGGTGAAATTGGCTCTTGTAATATGAATAGAGGGCTTGTACTGTAATGTAGACCATTTGTTATTGTGATTTTGCATCCATTTTGACACCTCATAGCTTTCGTCCGTTTATTGTAATTGATTGGAAAAGAGCATTCAAACCATTCTCCTTGTGTCTTTTGCAAAAGAAAGAGCAAATGTTTGGAACTACACAAATGTGAGTAAATAATCACAGTTTTCATACATCGTGGTGAGGGGTTTCTGTTTGTTTATATTTGTTTGCTACAAGGGGGAGCAATGGATGGACCAAAAGAGAGAGCGGGCACATGTGAAATAGAGAGAAAAGTGCATTGTATTTGTAAATTGGCTCATCAGCTGCTCCCAGTGTTCTGCGGTCTGTGCAGAGAGCGGAGGCATGTTAATCACACGGGCTCATCATTGCAGTGACAAAGACAGATCCCCTGCCGCCTCTCATGCACCGCCACGGCGAAGCATACGAATCACACTAATGCGTTCATGATTTCACTTCTGACCTACAAAAGCGCCCTTCACCGTTTAATCCCAGCCATGTTAATGCACAGCCTTTGATCTCACCCAAATCTCCTCTCTGAGAGGGAAATCACTAAACGCTATATGCGGTGAATCAAAAGTTGAAATAAAAGGCACACACCTTCTACAGTGAGTGAATCAG